ATGCTATTTATAGGAACATGCAATAGGTTTACCAGAATTGTATTTAATGAATTAAGAAATATTTCACAATTTTTCAATTTGAATTTTTTACATGGTATATATTAGGTATAGTCTACATAAGCAAAAACTTATTAGGGCCCTCAGAAGTTTTTAAGTGTCCTTGAGCACAAAAAGTTTGAAAACTGATGCACTGAAGTGATAACACAAGCCTAACTATCTGTGTAATCTTGAGGCAAAGAAAATTGTGTCTCTACCTGAGTTTCATTTTGTGTAAAATTGGGAGTTAATGCTACACATGTAAAGTGGTTAACAGCAGTCAGGAACAAAAAATATGTTAGCTGTCATTAATATTATTCCATTTTTTTCTGTAAAATAAGAGGTGGTAATATATGCTAAAACTGAAAGAAGCAGTGATGTGAGGTTGAAGAAAAGAAGATTTGTTAAAGCCATGTGACAAATCTGAATGATAGAGTTGATTTAGAAAATATACGAAGATTGGAGGGCAATTCTGAGAAGTTGTTGAACTGTTGACCACAGATTTAAAGTAGAACCATGATTGCATGTCTTTTCTTTTTCCTCTCTTTTTCTCCCCTCCTCTCTTCCTTCTTTCCTTTCTCTCTCTCTCACTCTCCCCCCTCCCCAACAAATTCAGAATAGGAAAAAAATAAAAGCTGTTGAATTCTCCGAATTGGGAATATTCCAGTTGGTTTGATTAGAAAGAAAACATGGCAGATTGTAAATGAAGTAATGGACTACGTTTTATAAAGTGACTAAAAAAGAAGACAGGAAGAAAGATAATCTGTAGAAAATACAGAGGTCAAGAGATTTAAAATCTCTATTAAGAGGGAAAATTGTGTGAGCGAGTTGGCAAAAATAAGAAATTGGATAGTTAGACGTTTGATTTTGGATTTTAGGGATAGAACAGTTTCATTTGGTGACAAGGCCTGAGGTGTAGTCAGGAAAGTGGATTCCTAGAGGATAGGGGAAGTAATGGTGGCTGAAGATGAAGAAACCAAGGCCTTAGGAAGATGGGTCTTCTATTTACCTGTTAAAGTGACCATGGGTGATGGCAGAGTTGGATGTGATATCAGAGTTTTCTGTTTAAAAGGGGTGAGTATAAAATAGCAACTCTGAAGGATGAAAAGTGGCATGGCCAGACAGAAAGGAGTTACTGATTGAGTGTGATAATGGGGGAACAATGGCACTGTCTTCCTCACCAAGAATAAGGGCTGTGTGTGAAAATAAAAACCCTCCCTATAGTGCGATTTAACGCAAGTATTCTTTGCGAGGAGAGGATAGTCAGCTTTCAGTTGTGGACAGGCAGAGCACACATCAGAGGCTGTGTGAGAATTTATTCACAAAGGAATGGAACCCAGCAGAAGTTGGAAACAGAAGAGGGTGATTCCAAACTTCATCAGGCAATTGAAGGCCAGCTTGTGAGGTGAAGCATGGAAGATTTAGATAGTGGCCTGTTTTCCAACTGTTTGGGCAAATTCTATTTTCTCTTCCTTTAAGTTTTTTCGCCTTCCTTTTAGATTTTTCAATATATTATCTTAAAAAAATAAAATTGCAGACCCCTCTGGTCCCATTTGCCCTTGTCATCCTTGGCCCTCCTTTCACAGGTCTTCTCAATGGAATGGGAGGCTCCCAATCCTCAAGAATGGGCGGAGCGACAAAAGGGGGCCGGGCTCGGCGGACCGCTTCCGGTCGACGTGCTCCGCAAGACGCTGCTGACGCAGGAGGACATCCGGGGCTTCTCCCTGAATCGGGAACCAGCGCTGTCCGTCGTCCGAGAGCCTTTTCCAGGTCTCGGGTCGGGTTGCCTTCTGGCGCGGTCCCGCTCAGCTTCTGGACCCCGAGTGAGCCCGGCCGCCCCGAGAGGGTGAGCGCGCGAGGTACGGGGCCCCGCGGCGTACCGCCGGGCATAAGGTGAGGGCAGTGACTTTTGTGAAGCTCGGATGTGCCGCGGTTTTCCCTTGGACTGGAGCCTTGCCGCCTTGACAGAATCGGGAGGGAGGGGCCATCGCAAAAATTACGGGGCGGCCGAGCGCCCCTCGAGGTGGGGAAGGGGGTTTCTCCTAAGTGGCCTGGGGAAGTTGGCGGGGAGGCGAGGCGCGGAACACACGCCTGGGAACGCAGAAAATGCCGTCGCGTGATCACCCTGTGAGCAGCGTGACCACCGCTGGCCCGGGCAGCGCACCCGCCGGAGTTTTAATTTTGCAAACTGGAAAGGTGCCCGAGTGTCTCGGGCGCTGCTTCATTAACCACCAGTTAACTGTGACTGCTCTGCCCCTATTTCTCAGTCCCTCTCATGCCGCCCACCTCTTGGTTTTTGTTGAGACAGTTCAATGGAGAGCACTTAGAAAAGGCTTGCAAAGGCTTGCTTTTCTAAATGTAGCTCTTTCAATGAAGTGATGAAAGCCGCTTTTAAAGTCCTCGCGTTTAAACATATGGTAGAACATGTACTCTTGTACTTGTACGTACACGTGAACCCTGTTAAAACTCTATGCTCCCTGCAGGTAGGAAGAGCAACTTTCAAAGTCAAGGCAACCGTCGTATTTTTAATATCTTTCGGTTTTTTTTGGTACCGGGGATTGAACTCGGGTCCTTGCGCTTGCAAGGCAGGCCACCGAACAGCTGAGCTAAATCCCCGGCCCCAATATTTTTAATATCTTTCGAAGAGAATAGTTTGACTTTATAGTTAATGGTGACGTTTGACTCATTTGTGATGCTTTATTTAGATATTACCTAGGAATGATTAGACTTGTTTTACTCTGTTTTGGCCACAGTGGGTTATCTGAATGTGTATTTCAAAACAGCAATTTAAACAATGAAAAAATGCATTTTTAAGTGGTTTCTGGATGATACCTGCTCACTTTTAAACAAGGTGCATCAGAGAACCTTTTTTTCTTAGAGAATACTGCTACTTTGGATTTTAGGATAATCTGATGTTTACTTTTTAAGAATTGTTTGGTACAAACGTGCCTTTATTTTACAGATTTTTGCTTTATTTGGGTTAATGTGTGCTTAGTGTTTCATAATGGCTTACAGATTTTTTAACCATCAAAAAATGTCAGACGATTTTAAAATTCGAGAGTAAGACTATTTTTGTTATTCTCTTTCTTATTTAGTTCATTAAAATAGTAAATGAAGCTGGGCAGTTATCTCTTTTCTTTTTGTTGTTTAGAAAGAGTGGAAAATGCCTAAAAAAAAGACTGGTGCCAGGAAGAAGGCAGAGAACCGCAGGGAACGTGAAAAACAACTAAGAGCATCAAGAAGCACTGTAGATTTAGCTAAGCACCCATGTAATGCTTCAATGGTAACAGCTTCTTTTGTTTTAATCAAACTATCAGTTCATATTTAACATTCCTTATGTATTTTATCTGAAATATACCTAAAAAAATTCATTGAGTATAGTGTTACCACATATATTTCATTATTTAATGAGGAACTTGTGTTAGAAGCAAGTTGCTCTTTGTTTCTCTAATCTGAGTAGCGATGATTTTTGTTTGATTATGTATTGTTTATAAATCCTAGCGTATTATCTTACCCATTTGTGCTAAACAGATACTGTACAGGAATGGGTAATAGGAACTATGTGACATTTACCACCGTTACTACCTTTACATACTTTAACTCAGTTTGTTTTTGGGTTTTCATCTTTTTTTCTCTTAGCAATCTTTAATTCATTTATTTCTCTTTTTTGAACTTCCCAACTTGCTGACATCTCTGTTTTGGCTACCTGTCCTATTACCTTTTATGCCTTTGTTTAATGGATTAATCTTGATAGTTTCTGGCTGCTTTGAATGGTGATTGTTATGTTATCGTTACTCTTTCATTTCTCCATAGTTTTATACTTTTTCTATTTCCAGTTTTTTCCTCTTTCTCCTTAGCTTCATCAAATGTATGTGAAATGCTGTTTTGCCTTAATTTAGCATTTACTCTATGCCAGTTACTATTTTAGGTACTACGGTGATTTATGGTGAATGACCTGATGTCCCAATCTCTAAGCTTGTAGTTCAGTTATTTGTTTATAAATGATAGAATTCCAACTTAATTGTAGGGAAAAATAGTTTATTGAGTGGATAATGGATTAATACAAGCAGCTAGAAAGGAAAAGGGTACAGCTATGAAGTATGATTGAAAAATATGCTGAATGCTTATATTTATTATATTAGTAGACGCATTGCTATTCCCCTCAAAATACTCTGCGGTTTGGACACACTTAGCCTATCATTCTTGACACTTTCTGAACCATTCTGGAAGCCCTTTTTTGTGTCTTTAGTTGGGCTCTTGTGGCTGTTTCAGTGTCCTGAATTGATTCAAAATTTTATTTTTCATGGTCGTTTTAAGGAGGAGTCAGAAGTCAGAGGATACAGGTCTGCTGAATAAGGTGGATGAAAAACAGTAATTTTTTTGAGCCCACCTTTCTGTTGGATGGCACTCAGCAGCAGCATTCACGGTGTTGTTGATCACATCTCCTAAGAACACTCCTGAGAGAGGACTTGGAGAACTGCTTCAGCAGGTAGCAGGAACATTGGGATAAGTGTGTTCAGAGCAAGGAAAATAAATATTTTTAATATCTTTCGAAGAGAATAGTTTGACTTTATAGTTAATGGTGACGTTTGACTCATTTGTGATGCTTTATTTAGATATTACCTAGGAATGATTAGACTTGTTTTACTCTGTTTTGGCCACAGTGGGTTATCTGAATGTGTATTTCAAAACAGCAATTTAAACAATGAAAAAATGCATTTTTAAGTGGTTTCTGGATGATACCTGCTCACTTTTAAACAAGGTGCATCAGAGAACCTTTTTTTCTTAGAGAATACTGCTACTTTGGATTTTAGGATAATCTGATGTTTACTTTTTAAGAATTGTTTGGTACAAACGTGCCTTTATTTTACAGATTTTTGCTTTATTTGGGTTAATGTGTGCTTAGTGTTTCATAATGGCTTACAGATTTTTTAACCATCAAAAAATGTCAGACGATTTTAAAATTCGAGAGTAAGACTATTTTTGTTATTCTCTTTCTTATTTAGTTCATTAAAATAGTAAATGAAGCTGGGCAGTTATCTCTTTTCTTTTTGTTGTTTAGAAAGAGTGGAAAATGCCTAAAAAAAAGACTGGTGCCAGGAAGAAGGCAGAGAACCGCAGGGAACGTGAAAAACAACTAAGAGCATCAAGAAGCACTGTAGATTTAGCTAAGCACCCATGTAATGCTTCAATGGTAACAGCTTCTTTTGTTTTAATCAAACTATCAGTTCATATTTAACATTCCTTATGTATTTTATCTGAAATATACCTAAAAAAATTCATTGAGTATAGTGTTACCACATATATTTCATTATTTAATGAGGAACTTGTGTTAGAAGCAAGTTGCTCTTTGTTTCTCTAATCTGAGTAGCGATGATTTTTGTTTGATTATGTATTGTTTATAAATCCTAGCGTATTATCTTACCCATTTGTGCTAAACAGATACTGTACAGGAATGGGTAATAGGAACTATGTGACATTTACCACCGTTACTACCTTTACATACTTTAACTCAGTTTGTTTTTGGGTTTTCATCTTTTTTTCTCTTAGCAATCTTTAATTCATTTATTTCTCTTTTTTGAACTTCCCAACTTGCTGACATCTCTGTTTTGGCTACCTGTCCTATTACCTTTTATGCCTTTGTTTAATGGATTAATCTTGATAGTTTCTGGCTGCTTTGAATGGTGATTGTTATGTTATCGTTACTCTTTCATTTCTCCATAGTTTTATACTTTTTCTATTTCCAGTTTTTTCCTCTTTCTCCTTAGCTTCATCAAATGTATGTGAAATGCTGTTTTGCCTTAATTTAGCATTTACTCTATGCCAGTTACTATTTTAGGTACTACGGTGATTTATGGTGAATGACCTGATGTCCCAATCTCTAAGCTTGTAGTTCAGTTATTTGTTTATAAATGATAGAATTCCAACTTAATTGTAGGGAAAAATAGTTTATTGAGTGGATAATGGATTAATACAAGCAGCTAGAAAGGAAAAGGGTACAGCTATGAAGTATGATTGAAAAATATGCTGAATGCTTATATTTATTATATTAGTAGACGCATTGCTATTCCCCTCAAAATACTCTGCGGTTTGGACACACTTAGCCTATCATTCTTGACACTTTCTGAACCATTCTGGAAGCCCTTTTTTGTGTCTTTAGTTGGGCTCTTGTGGCTGTTTCAGTGTCCTGAATTGATTCAAAATTTTATTTTTCATGGTCGTTTTAAGGAGGAGTCAGAAGTCAGAGGATACAGGTCTGCTGAATAAGGTGGATGAAAAACAGTAATTTTTTTGAGCCCACCTTTCTGTTGGATGGCACTCAGCAGCAGCATTCACGGTGTTGTTGATCACATCTCCTAAGAACACTCCTGAGAGAGGACTTGGAGAACTGCTTCAGCAGGTAGCAGGAACATTGGGATAAGTGTGTTCAGAGCAAGGAAAATATTTTGAGAGAGATTAGTGGCAGTATTTCTCTTACTGCAACAGTTTTTAAATTTAATCATTCACTGTATTTTTTGATCACACCTTGTAGGTCATGGGACAGTTGTATCTCAGCTTGTGGTTCCATCTTTTACTTTTCATTCATTTTTGCTTATTATCTTCTCAGACTGCTCATTTGCTTTGCTTCCTAGTTACTCTTAGTTTACATGTAGCCCTTTATGTGTTGTTGAACTCAGAGAAAGAAAGAACTCTGATAGGTCTGTCATGAGCTAGTGTTCATTGCAGCGCTAATATTTATGGAAGGGAAGGGGTCAGGATTATGTAGCACAGATGTGGGACTCACCTGGGTGTCAAGGTCCTTTCCGGGAAAGGTGGGTGCTGGGCAGACAAAACAGTGAGGGATTGGCATATATAAACGTGTATAATGAGAGCTAGGTCTCGGTAGTATTTCAGTAAAGGCACAGTGCATTTGTTAGGACTGAGAGGTGATAAAGTTGAGTGTGTATGTAGGGATGCAGTTCACAGAGAAGGTGGGATTATCACTGGAATGTCCATCAGGTAGAGATTCACAGAAAAGTATTAGAATAAGGACAAGTATGGAGAAGAGAGAGCTTGAGATGTGCTTGGGGGAAAGGCTGACCAAAGAGAACAGCAAGATTTGAAAGGTGCTGAGGGATCACACTGTGGCGTTTTTTAAAGCTTTGTTTAAATGTAGGTATTCTGTGATCTTTTATTTTGTGTTCTCCATTTTTCTTTTGTTCATTCTGTAATATTTGACTTCTTAAAAGAAACGGGGAAAAAAAAAACCCACCACTATACCTTGCCTCTTTCGTGATGCCACTTTTTCTAGTGTGGTATGGCTAGAGTATGCCTTTGTCACATACTTTTGTTGTTTAAATATATACAGAAGCTTTTATACATGAGTGGAAATGGAGGGTTTGGTGTAATCCCACTTAAATTTTAAATTGGAAAACAAGATAGCAGAAAAATTAATAATATGTTTTTACTTATTTACAGGAATGTGACAAGTGTCAGAGGTAAATTTTATTTTATTTTTTTGTCTACATATAATGAAGTAGTTCCCCTGGTCTTTTATTTGACATTTACCTCATTTAAAATTTTTATTTTACATGACAAGGCGGCAGAAGAATAGAGCATTTTGTTATTTTTGTAATGCTGTACAGAAGTTACCAATCTGTGCACAGTGTGGTAAGTATATAAGAACACATGCCTTTTCTTTCATCAGATCTTTGGCAGTTAGTTTGTACCTGTGGATTCGTTATTGTTTGTAATGATATTGTAAATATTATTATAATTTGTAATAAAAATGTAATTGTAATAAATATCTAATAATGTCTTATCGCTAGTGAAATAACATCAGATGTTATTTGGCCTATTAGAAAACATTGAGTTTTAGTTTTGCTTCTTTGATACTGCACCGGGAAATAAGGTAAAATACAGATACAGGTTAATAATAAGTTATTTTAAATATCTAAAAAAAGCAAATTTTAGATTAAACATTTGGTGATTTTGAATTTTTAATTATGCTACCTTAGTCTTTTTTTAAAATTAATTTTATTGGTACATTTAATGTGTACAATATAATGACATTCACTGTTGGAAGTTTGTACCTTTACTTAATCAGTCTTGATTATTTTTTTCCCATTCCCCTACCCTCCCTTTAACCCCTCCCTCCTTCCCTATCTACAAAGACTTTGTTTCCATTATTTTTCATTTTCTCATAATAATTCCATTCCCTTCTTTCGTTTCCCCTACTGCTCCCATTTCCTCTTCCCCTTTGTCCCTTTTCCTCCTGTTTCACATTATTATACCTGTTAGTCCTTATTTACACTTTCAGTTTCTCACACTAGGGAAACTATTTGATATTTTTGCATGTGTGTCCTATTTATACTACTTAAGAGTATCACCTCAGTGTGCATCCCTTTAGCTATAAATGTCTCTAATTTCTCATTTTTTATGGCTGAATAGTATTCCATTTTATATTAAGAAACATTTCTTTATTCATTCTCCTATTGATGGGCTGCTGCCAAGTTTTAGCTATTACAAATTGTGCTATGAACATGGGTCCACATATACCACTGTGGTATGATTCTTTTAATTTTTTAGGGCTAATACCCGGCAGGGGAATAGCTGGCACTTCCAGTCCTAGTTCTTTGAGGTATCTCCATAGTGATTTCCACAGTGGTTGCCCCAGTCTACATGCCCACCAGCAGTGGAGCAGTGTTCCTCTTTCCCTGCAGTTCCAGCTGGCATTTGTTATTGGTTGATTTCATGATAGCAGCCTGCAGCCTTCTTTCTGGGGTGAGGTAGAATCTCAGCTTTGTTTTCATTTGCATTTCATGAATGATGGGTGATGTTGAACATTTTTTCATATGTTTATTTGCTGTTTCTACTTCTTTGTCTGAGAAATGTCTGTTCATTTCAGATGCTGATTTTTGGATTTGGGAGGTCTGATTTTTTTAAAGTTCTTTATAAATTTTAGATAGTAAACCTTTGTCTGAGGAACAGCTGGTGAAATTTTTTCCCATATTGTGGGTTGTCTCTTCATACTGTTGGTGGCTTCTCTTGCTGTGCAGAAGCCTTTTAATAAGAAGACATTCCACTTGTTGATTGTGCTGGCTCATGGGCAGCTGAGGTTTTGTTCATAGACTCTTTTCCTGCACTAAAGTCTTCAAGAGTTCTACCTAACCTGTCTTCCAGTTGGTTTAGTGTTTCTGTTTTAATATTTAGATCTTTAATCCATTTTGATTTTAGTTTAGTGCATGGTGAGAGATACAGGTCTAGTTTTAATCTTTGGCAAGTTGAAATACAGTTTTTCCAGCACCATTTATTAAAGAGGCTATCTTTCCTCCACTGAGGGTATTTGGCTCCTTTGTCAAAGATGAGGTGGCTGAGTGTGTCTGGACTTCTTTCTGTATCTTCTAGGCTGTTCCACTGGTCCTCAGGTCGATTTTTTTTTTTTGTTTTTTTTTTTTTTTTTTTTTTTGCCAGTATCATGCTGTTTTTATCACAGGAGCTTTGTGTCATAGTTTCAAGTTGGGGATTGTGTTACTCCCTACCCTTTTTTACTTTCTAAAATTGTTTTTGCTATTCTAGGTCTCTTTATGTTCCAAATGAATTTTTGGATTGTTTTCTCAAGATCTGTGAAGGATGCTGCTGGTATTTTAATTGGGATTGCATTGAATCTGTATAGCAGTTTTGGAAGTATGGTTATTTTTACTGTGTTGATTCTTCCAACCAGGAGCAAGGGATGTCTTTCCCTTTTTTGATATCCTCTTCAATCTCTTTTCAGAGTACTGTAATTTTCTGAGTACTGTAATTGTCTGAGTAGAGGTCTTTGATTCTTTTTTAGGTTGATTCCTAGGTATTTCCATTTTTTTGGATGCTATTATGAAAGGAATTGATTGCCCCATTTCTCTCATTGAGTCTGTTTTTCATGTTCAGAAAAGTCATTGATTTTTGTGTGTTAGCCTTGTATCCAGGTGCTTTGCTGAATGTGGTTATTAAGTCTAGAAGACTTGGTGGAATTCTTGAGATTTTCTGTATATCATGTCATCTGCAAATAATGACAGTTTGACTTCTTCATTTCCTATCTTTATTCCTTTTATTTCTTTCTGTTGTCTAATTGCTGTGGCTAATGTTTCCCAAACTATATTGAACAGAAGTGGTGACAGTATACATCCTTGTCTTTTTCCTGATTTTAGCATGAAGGATTTCAGTTTTTGACCATTTAGTATAATATTGGTTGTTGGTTTTTCATAGATGGCTTTTATGAGATTTAGGTAGAGACCGTCTGTTTCTATTTTCTGTAGGGTGTTTATCATGAATGTGTGTTGGATTTTGTTGAATGCTGTTTCTGCATCTATTGAGATGATCATAGGTTTTTTGGCCTTAGCTCTATTAATACAGTGTATTATATATGTTGACTTGCATATGTTGAACCCATCCCTGCATCCCTGGGATGGATCCCACTTGGTCAGTATGTATGATCTTCTTGATCTGCATTCTATTTGCCAGGATCTTATTAACGATTTTTGCATCTGTGTTCATTAGTGAGATTGGCCTATAGTTCTGTTTTTCAGTTTGGTCTTTCTCTGCTTTGGGAATCAATGTGATGCTTGCTTCCAGAAATTAATTTGGGAGTATTGCTTCCCTTTCATTGTCATTGGAGTTTAAATAGTAGTGGTAGTAGTTCCTCTCTAAATGTCTTAAGGAATTCTGCAGTGAAGCCATCATGGCCCAGCCATTTCTTAGTTGGTAAGTTTTTAATTACATTTTCAATTTTATTGATTAATATTGGGTTGTTTAGAATTTTTGGGTCATCTTCGTTCAGTTTTGGTAATTGATACAAATATGGGCATCTGTCCATTTCTTCTGTATTTTCTATCTTATTGGTGTAAAGGTTCTTGAAGCAGCTATTGAAGATCCTCTGGATTTCTGCTGGATCTGTTGTAATTTCACACTTTTCATTCTGAATCATGGATTTGGGCCTTTTCTTTCCTTTTTTTGATAAGGTTGGCTAAGAGTTTATCAATTTTGTTTATTCTCTTGAAGAGCCAACTCTTGACTTCATTGATTTTTTTGGTATCCTTTTAGTCTGCATTGCATTGATTTCTGCTTTGAACTTTATAATTTCCTCCCTTGTATGAGCTTAGAGTTTGTCCTGCTTTTCTTTTTCTAGAAGCTTGAGGTTCAGCACCAGGTTGTTTAATTGCGCTCGCTGTTTTCTTAATATGCGTATTCAGTGCTATGAATACCCCTTGTAAGACTGCATTCATTGTGTCTCATAGATTCTGATGTTGTATTGTCATTGTCATTTAATTGTAGAAACTGATTTCTTCTTTAATTTCCTTTGTGACTCATTGGTTATTCAGGAGTGGGTTGTTCATTTCCATATGTTTGTGAAATTCTTGTGGTTTCTTGTGCTGTTTGTTGATCTCCACTTTCATCACATTATTGCCTGATACACAGGAGATCCCTTCAACTCATTTGAACTTAGATATGTTCTGTGAACGAGTATGTGGTCTGTTTTGGAGAATGACCCATGTGCAGCTGAAAAGAATGTGTGTTCTTATTTTGTGGGGTGGAACACTGTAAACATCTGTTCATTTGTTTAAGAGTTTGATTGAGTTCTAGTATTTCATTGTTTATTTTCTGTCTAGTTGATCTATCTATTTGTTATAGGGGGATATTGAGGTCCCCCATTACTGTTGCGTTGGTACTTATTTGATTTTCATGTCTGTTAGTATTTGTTTTATATAGTTGGGTGCACTAGTGATTGGTGCATATATATTTATGGTTGTCATCTCTTTGTCTTGGATTGTTCCCTTTACAAGGGTGTAGTGTCTTTTTATGTCTCTCTTAACCAGTGTTTGTTTGAAATTCATTTGATATGCAAATAGGATAGCTACTCCTACTTTTTTTCCTGGTTTCCTATTGCATGGAGTGTTATTTTTCACCTTTTAATTTTCAGTTTATGAGTTCCTTTTTGAATATGTGTGTTTCTTGTATGGAGCATATTGTTGAATCTTGCTTCTTAACCCATTGTGCCAAGCTTTTTCTTTTGATTGGTGAATTGATACCATTAACATTGATGGTTATAATTGATATGCATTGACTTATCCTTATAATGACTTTTTCTTTTTGTTGGATTCTCCCCCTTTGCGTTTAATTTCTTGTCATGCCTGATGGATTCATTCTGCTGGGCTTCCTGGGGTTGTGATCCTCATTGTCTTTTCCTAGGATATTGTTTAAAAATTTTTCGAGTGCTGGTTAGGTATTCATGAAGTTCCTCAGGTGCTCTTTGTCACGAAAGTATCTTATTTCTCCATCAGTTTTGAAAGATAGTTTTGGAGGGTATATCAGTCTGGGTTGGAGGCTGTTTTCCTTTAGGGCTTGAAATACATCACTCCAAGCTTTTCTTGCTTTGAGGGTTTGTGTTGAGAAGTGTGCTGTGATTCTGGGAGGTTTTCCTTTGTATGTGATTTGTTTCTCTTCTCTGACTGCTTGTAGAATTTTGTTCTTCTGTTCAGTTTCTGGAATCTTAACTATTATATGCCTATGTGTAGATTTTTTTGATCATGGCTAGTTGGAGTCCTATATGCCTCATTTATCTTCATGTCAAAATGTTTTCCCCTGCTTGGGAAGTTTTCTGCCATTACTTATGTGAACAGTTTTTTTTTTTTTTAAATGTCATCTGCACTTTCTCCTGTTTTTTCATTGACTCCTATCACTCTTATATTATTCTTTGCATCATTGAGCAGCTGATGGATTGATTTCTCATGGTCCCTTACTATTTTTAAGAGATTTTTCTCTTCCTGTTCATTAATTGCAATCCTGTCTTGTATATCTGAAATTCAATCTTCGCATTGGCTCATTCTGCTCCAGAAACTTTCAGTGGAGTTTTTAATCTCCTGGAAATCTTTTTGCATCTGTTTTATGGATTCCATTTATTTCTTATGTTGGGATTCCATCATGTTCCTCAGAGCTTCTATTTTTTTATCTGTGTCTGCTCTAGATTTATTAATCATGTACTATGGGCACAATCTCTGCTGTCATCTGAGAAATTATTTCTGTATTCATTTTCTCCAGATCCTCTTTCGTTGCAAGTTCAGGGAGCCCATGTGGTTGAATATCAGATTGTTCTATCTTGTTTCCCTTTGGGGTTGCCTTAGGTGATCTGGAAATCTGGTTTTGGGACTTGTTTCCTGTTTCAACAGATGGAGCCTGCTGTGCCTTTATTGAGGTAACTTTTTGCTCACCCAGTGGTCTTCAGTTCTCAGCAAGCTACCAAGAGGCCTTTTCTCTGCTGCTCACCAGTACACCAATTCCCGGTTCAAGTCACCGATACTGGGGACAGGCCTCTGACTGAAGCTTGTTCACTTGTGCATCTCTTTCCTGGGTGATCCTTGGCTGTGCAGGTTTCCCTAAGTCTCTGGGATTAGTGCGGATCCCTGGCTGGGTTCTGCCTGCAGCTGTGGTGGTCTAGACCATACTGCTCATGCCGCCTTAGTTTTATTAGTGTCTTTTAAACTTTTCTGAATTTCAATTCCTTCTGCAGGCTGGGGATGTAGCTCAGTGGTGCAGTGCTTGCTTAGCAAGTTCGAGGCCCTGAATTCATTTCTAGTACCAAAATAGAAAAAAGACCCCCCCCAATAAAAGCCCCTTAGAAAAGAAAAAATAAAGTAAATTTTGGTTCCTTCTAATTTTATCTGCTAGGCAACATGGAATATACTGCCTGTACTGCTTTGTGACATGGTCTGTTAGATTACCCAGAACCATTTTATTTCACATGTAACCCAGTTTTTATTTTATGGTGACTTCTTTTTATGTGTGGTATTCCAGTGGCATTCTTGAATTTCCACAGATGTATTCCCAAATGACTGAAGTAGAGTTTTGTGTCATGCATCTAGTTTCCAAGTATAGATAGAAACTTTTACCCTGAAACAATGATTTAAAATAGAAATAAGTGGTATTTCCCAAATAGCCTTCTACCTGCTACCTGAGATACTAATAGGTAGTTTTGGATGAATACATTTGTGTAGGAAGTGCTGCAGGTTTCATCTCACTTCCATCTAGGAGATTTCTACTACATATTGTAAAAGTTCTGGAGATCTTCAATAAATAAACCTGATTAACTTTATTTACTCCAGCTTTATGCTGAGCTTTTTATTTGAGCAAATACCCCTTTATTTGGGGACGATAGTTTCAGGTGGAGCAATTTGGGATATCCCCATTTCCATGTGTCTTGGTGTAACAATGCTGCAGATGGTAACCAGTGTTTGGGCTTGTGTCTTTGAATGTTTCTAGGGTAGTTCTAGCTTTCAGTGATACGTCTTTTTGATTTGTGAAGTTAATATAAAAGAGAAAGCTGGCTTCCATGGAACACTTATCTATCTGCTTTTAAATCCTTATTTTACACAGGACAGATGAATGTAGAATGAGAAACTAGATTTTGTGGAGGATTCAGAGATCAAGTCTTATCATAAGTCAACGTCTCTGGGCATGGATTTTGTCTGTATACTGGGGTGCATTTCCTGTTCGCTGATACTTGGTGTTAGACATAAGCAGTTGGGGTAATTATTGCTTACTTTCCACTTTCTCTTTCTTCCCATATCCTGTTGTCTAATTTGGTTCATCCAAATTAAAATCAAGCTAATGCTAAATTAAGCATCTTTTTCTCTCCTGTTCCACTTGTAGAATCTCAGATGGGTGATTAATGATACACAGATTTTCCTTGCAGTGTTTTAGGTAATTTGCTGTTAAATCAGAGCTTTTGTGAGTATGTTGTAATTTTAAGTTGAAACACTGTCTTCTTTTTCTTGTGCTCAGTTGGGCACTATTTAAACATTGTATTAGAATTATTAGAAAAATGTTTACTTGGGGGCTGTGTTTATAGATTTTTACAAATGAATAAACTTAATTTAAACAGTAAGTTGCATAACCATTTTTGTTTGTGGTATTTTGTAGCAAGAAGTAAGTGACAAGTTGAAGCCAAACTGTTCTTACTGTAAATTATAAAATGTAAAATTCATTTTAAAGCATAGAAAATGTTTTGATTCATCTGTAAATTCATATAATTTTAAACTATTAAAATTACATTGACTTAGAGTATAACTTGTAATTTTTGATTTTAGTACAAGCATGAATTAGCATATAAATTTATTATATCATACAGTTTAGCAGGCTTATTAATATATTTCTACTCTTAAAAAATCTTCAGGCAATGAGTTCTCAGTTATATTCATTTTTTTCTTTTTAATTATATACAGTAAATTACTATTTCATTCCATTTGTTTTTAAAGTATTTACTTAGGAGCTTAGGCTAGAGCAGGAGGAATTAGTGAATACTTGTTTGTACTGTTTTGCAGGACTAATAGTGTACATCTTTGTCATTACTAGGAAAGACAAAGTGCATGATGAAGTCCTCAGACTGTGTCATAAAGCATGCTGGTGTATATAGTACTGGCCTCGCAATGGTGGTAAGCTTCTTGTCAAGTATGTCTTATTTATAGGCTTCCAAGGATGAGTGAAAGGTCTTTCTGAGCAGTTTCTTTTTTCTGAATAGCTGTGCTTTGTCTCTCGTCTCATTAATTCATTTCTCAATGGTAGCTTTCTTGTGTACCTTAATTAAATGACACAAAATAAGCTTTTCTTAACCAACATTTAAGCCTTTGGTTAAATTAACAACTGAGTTTTAAAAAGAATATAGGATTAATAAGTTTTTTCCTTTTAAGCATTACATTTTAAAGAAAAGGTATACTTTATATATAATCTTTTCATTATATGTAGGATTTTCTAAGGAGGTCTAGTTTTTTTTTTTAATAAATTTTGGGTTTTTTTTAGTAAAGCATATTTTTTATTAAATATGAATTACCAGTTTTACCATATTACATGATTTTATGTAGTCCCAGAAGAAAGTAATATTTTTGTGTCAAGTGAAATATCTTATTTCATGCTAACTTTCTCAGAACATACAGTTCTGTCTCCCTGTGTCTGTCTTTTTCCAATTGGTCATGTAGTTCTCACCAGTCTTTCTAGGTTCTGAAATCACGCCCTCTCTTCCCTTGTCCAATCAAGTGTAGATGTATCCCTTGATATTTTTCTAAATGTCTTGATATTTTTCTAAAACCTTCTCCTGTCTTTTTTAGACTGTCTCCTTAATGTAGCCTACATTACCTAATTAAGAGTGCTCTCTCTCTCTTGCTAGGACCCTGGCTGATTTAAGAAAATAGTTAAAAGATTTTCTAGCCTTACTGATAATCCACTTTTACAAGTCAAAAATCATTCTTCCTATTCACTGCTTTTTTTGTTACTTATGGAGCCTTGAGTGGTACAATACTAAATGAGGTTCAAGAGGCCAAGATATAAATGTAAGCTCAGTTGTAATGCAGATCTGGCAACTGGATTTAGTCTTGGGACTTAGGGTTCTCATTTATAAAGGAAAGGTTGTGTAGCTCTATTCTTTAAATATTCTTTCTAGTCTTAATATTCTCTAGGAGTCAGTGTGTTATTGAAAGACATATTCTTACTAGGTTTATATAGAATTGAAGAGTTTTACCCTGTTGTTTAATTTATTTGCATATGTTTTACTTTTTTTTTTGCCTCAAAGAAATAAAATGATTTAAAGCATAAGTTATTTTAAAAAGATGGCAGAAATGCAATATTTTCTGTTATTCTACAACACTATTTGATTGTTTTATAAATAAATTTTGTTGTATCAGAAGTGATCGTATTTAAAAATTCAACTTGGTTAAAGGAATTTTTATAGACAAGGAAGCTTAATCTGTGGATTCCAAACTCCTTTGAATTTGAATTTCTTTGAGGAGCACTTGCAACTCCTTAATTTATAGAATAAGGAGATAGTTCCCTTTTGCTTACTTTTTCAAGTTTTGCATGTTGTGTATAGCTGTTGACGAAGTAGTTGTTTAGAAAACCCTTTGTATTTTAACTCAACCAGTACAAGATTTAATGAAGCTACCCACTGTTGTTGAGGTTTGATAAATTGCTAAATGTGTAAGATTTTGATAGTTGGCCATTGATTAGACAGTGATTGCAGCTGGTCATTTGACAGTGATCAAATGTTCTTGTTCCTTGGTTGCAGGGTGCAATATGTGACTTCTGTGAAGCTTGGGTTTGCCATGGTAGGAAGTGTCTCAGTACACATGCCTGTGCCTGCCCTCTTACTGATGCTGAGTGTGTTGAATGTGAACGGGGTGTATGGGACCATGGTAAGTGATTACATGTGAGCCGTGAACTTTGCTGTAAGTGAAGGCTGACTTTTAAACATCGAATGCTATTTTTTTAAGATTATCTTAAGGGTACCATCATTTGTAATTACTGGTACTATTTTGATGGAAAATGGATTGACACCAGCAGTAATTTTGAGTGCTGGCGCTGTTCACCTTGGCAGGTAGGAGGAAACTAGTGGTAGGAGCAGGTGATCTCTTTGCCCACAGTATAAGGGGTTAGGGATTTCAGGGAATCCATTATTGTATGGTTTGATTTCAAATACTTCAGCAGTTTTCATTTTAGCTTTTATCAGAAGACAGAATGCTTTGTACCTCAGAAATCATTTGCTCTCTCTTTTGAGCAGTTTTAGAGATGAATTTTCTAAAGTTAAATTTATCGTATTTTTTTTTGTGGGTTTGTTTCAATCCATTAGGTGGCAGGATATTCAGTTGTTCTTTTTGCCATAACTTTCTCTGTGAAGACGATCAATTTGAGCATCAAGCCAGCTGCCAAGTACTGGAGGCAGAAACATTTAAATGTAAGTTTTTTAATATTGCATTTTCTTTACATCTAACATTATGTATATTATAAATGTTTAATGAAGAAGGAATCAGGTCTTTTATGCCATCTCTTATGAGCTGTAATTTTCCAAGCTGTGTCTATTTTGTTTCCAGAAAAGAAATGAAAGCACATAATCCTAAGATTTTCAATAGAGATACCAGTGGCTTATTGGTTGTAATAGTCTTTCATTTTGTAGCTTGACCAGGCATTGCAGGACTTGTGTTCCAAATGTCAGTGTCCCCTTCAAGTTGTTATACATCCAAACCCTACCCGTGTCCCCCTTCCATTTCCAAATGCCCTCAAGTAAGTGATAGCATATCTAGTTTGTTCTTGCTGCTTTGTTAGTTCCAGTGATTCTTACATAAGAGAGTACATCAGAAATAACTTGTGGAGCTTTAAGAAACATAGGTACAAGATATTATCCTTGGAGTCTGGTGGCTGCCAGGCATCTGTATTTGCATGTAAAATTAACAGTGTTATTGATTAAGTTAAAAATGGTAGCATCTTTATAAATAATTTTTCTCAAAAAGTGAATTGAAAAGAATCCACAAAAATGCATTAGTGTATGGTACCTGCCACTTACCCTTCATTAAATAGTAGTTGCCATGATAGAAAAAAAGACTGAAATTCCTAGATTCACTCTCTCTAATTTGGTTCTTTTTCTGCTGTGAAGTGATAATTTCTATACTTATCTATAAATTAAAGATTAGTAAAAAAAAAAAAAGATTAGTAAGTCATTGATCTGAGATATGCATAAAACACATATATTTACATAAAATTCTTGCAATGTTTTTGTAGAAAATTCTCAAGAATTAAAAAGAGCATTTGAGCTGGGCATAGTGGTGCACGCCTGTAATCTCAGTACTTGGGAGGCTGAGGCAGGAGGATTGCTGTGAGTTCAAGACCAGCCTGGGCTACATAGTGAGTTCCAGGTCAGTCTTGACTGCATAGTGAGACCCTGACTCAAAAAAAAAAAAAAAAAAAGAAAAAGAAAAGCTTTTGCAAATATATGGCATGGGGCTAGGGATTTAGCTGAGTGGTTCTGGTGACTGCCTCACAAGCACAAGGACCTAAATTCAATCCCCCAGTACCAAAAAAAAAACAGAAAGTATATGGCATGTTTGAGGCTTTCTTAAAGGTATTTGCAGAATGTGTAATATAAAAATTGAATTAATTTATTTGAGGCCTTGGTGCTCTGTGTATTTGTAGCCTGTGAACCCCAAAGACAGGCAACTACGAATGTAAAGCTATAGTTTCATTGACTGTTTGATTCAATGGAAGACCCAAGAAGAAAATGAGAACTGAATAATTGACAGAATTTTAAGATGAATCCTTCTCCCATAGGTGTTTCATGCAATCGTCTTGGTCAGCATTCTTGTCTCCGTTGTAAGGTATGTTTGTATGTTTTGTCTTGTTTTTTAAGATTGAATTTTGAATCCCTATTTCTTCCATGTGTAGTGGGTTTATTTATAGCTGTAATTAATCAGTGGGGCCTGCAATTGTTTAATTTTTAATTTAGTTTAATTTAATTTTTGAGATTCTTGACTTGAAGTTGAGAAAGCATGACTTTCCTCAATCATCTGGTTGGCTTGTAGTAGAGTTGCTACTTAGTGCACTTGTCTCCAGAGTTGTAGATCAGTGTTTTTTATACATTACATTTGTAGAGAACATTCTGACCCAAGTGTTGGGAATATATTTTAATTCATTTTAAAGCGCACCTTTTTAGAGGAATTTGAGTAGAGTGAAAATTCCCATAGTGTTGTGATTCTTTAGGCTGTCTCCAGCATTTCTGCTGGTCACAGAACACTAAACAGGTGCAGCCAGTTCACTTCCCTCAGAAATATTTCTCTGGTCTTACATTCTCCTTTCTCTTTTTCTCCCCCAACTCTGCTCCAGTTTTACGACCTGTCAGTGTGATGAAAGTGTTCGTGCTTTCCAGCTTTAGGCATTACCTGTGTCTCTATGGTGTCCTTTGGCTGAAGCACTTTTATTTTTGCCTACCCTTCTGTAGCCACATTTACTTTCAGATCTTAGCTAAGACTCATTGTTTCCCAGAAAGCCTTTTTTCTTGAATCCTGTGTCCTGTTTAGCCCCTTGTCTGCACTTCTCTGTCAATGCTTAGTGGCCTGTAATTGTTTCTCCATTTTTCTTTACATTGTGAGCGTAAACAGGATGTTAATTGTTGCTTCATCAGGGATCTTGTGAGTACTTACATGTTAGTGCTAGATGAATGCATCTCCACATCACGTTCTGTGTAGTCAGTCTGCCTTGTGGTACGTCATGGCTCACAAGAGTCCTGGCACAAACCATTTCCTAGGAGTGTGACTAGTCCTGACAAAATTCTTAATCACTCTGCCATAGCGAAACTCTTAAATTCCCTTGAAATACTGAATATTTCAAAAATTACTTACTTTATTTTTACTTCTCCTATATAGGCTTGTTTCTGTGATGAACATACAAGAAGCAAGGTGTTTAAACAGGAAAAGGGAAAACAACCTCCTTGCCCTAAATGTGGACATGAGACTCAGGAGACAAAGGATCTCAGCATGTCAAGTAAGGCTATTAAGATAGCAAAGGAATGATTTGTTTTTGTGCTTGGACAGAGTTCACCTTCATTCTCTTATTTTTAAAAATTCCTTTTTCTTTGTGTTTTGAAAAGCTGAATGTCTTCTCTCTTGATTTTTTTTTTTTTTTTTT